AGAGGAGAGGAGAGGAGAGGAGAGGAGAGGAGAGGAGAGGATGCCCTGATGTGCAAGGTGGCTGCAGCCCAGCCCAGCCAGAGCAGTTCCAGCACCAGGAAATGGAACAGATCTCCCAGGCCTTGCCTTCCCCAGCAGCCTGCCCTGCCCTCACCTCTGCCTGACCCAGGCACAGCCTGAGCTGCTTTCCCTGTGGTTGACATTTCCCTGCTCCCGGGCAGGTGCTTGTGCAGTTTTTATTCTGTTCTATTCCCTGTCACTGCTGCATTTTGCCCCAAAGCCCCCCTCCCTGGCAGAGGAGAGGAGAGGAGAGGAGAGGAGAGGAGAGGAGAGGAGAGGATGCCCTGATGTGCAGGGTGGCTGCAGCACAGCCCAGCCCAGCCAGAGCAGTTCCAGCACCAGGAAATGGAACAGGAGATCTCCCAGGCCTTGCCTTCCCCAGCAGCCTGCCCTGCCCTCACCTCTGCCTGACCCAGGCACAGCCTGAGCTGCTTTCCCTGTGGTTGACATTTCCCTGCTCCCGGGCAGGTGCTTGTGCAGTTTTTATTCTGTTCTATTCCCTGTCACTGCTGCATTTTGCCCCAAAGCCCCCCTCCCTGGCCATCCCCTGCAGGTGAGGCACAGGTGGGAGGAGGTTTGGCTTTCCTGGACCTGCTCCTCCCTGCATCATTCCTGCCATGCTGGAGAGCTCCAGCTGCACTCCTGAAGCACAGCCCCGAGCTCCAAGTGCTGCTCTTTGCCCCAGGGATATGCGCTGACCTCATTCCCCTCCCAGATTCACCAGGAGCAGGCACAGGGGGAGCAGCCCAGCCCAGCTGACAGCTCTGCCTGCCTGCCAGGAGGGAGCAGCATCCCAGCCATCCCCTCCGGAGCAACGCTGGCCGTGTGGGTGGCACCAGGGGAACATTTCCAAGCAGTCCCTGAGGACCAGAGCTGGGGCTGCTGCCCTTTCCCAGAGCCTCTGTTTGCTCTGGCTCCCGAAGCCAGGCTGGAGCTGTCACCTGGCTGGAGCTGTCACCTGGCTGGGGCCACATCCTGCAGTGCCACCCCAGGGCTGCTCCTGCCCCAGCCCCAGCCCCACGGGCTCTGCTCTCAGCAGTTTCAGCCCTCTCCAAACGTTTTGGGCACTCTAGAAGCTCAGGTCCCCCTGTAACACACAAATCTCCCACAGAAATTTTCTGTTTCCTGCCCTTCCTCCTCTGGGCTTCACAGCCATTGGATTGGCTTTGTTTCATGGGCTTATCCCTGGGTGAATGGACGATTGTGCAGTCACCTTTAGAGATAAAAAAATATTAATTTTATTGCTTCCCAGAACTCTGTGGCTGTATCCTCTCCCCAAGGCAGGGCTCGGCTCCCACTCCCGCACAGAAGATCAACCTTTTAAAGAGCCAGCAAAACTGAAAAGCCCCAGAGGGAGATCATCTACCAAAATATGTCACTTCCAGCACCCCTCACAAGGCTCTCCTTAGCCCTGGGGAGGTTTTTGTAGCGCTCCCATCCTGCCTTTTCTGTCCCAGCTGGAATTCTCTGGGAGCACAGTGACACCCCACTGAGTCACCCCCACCACCCAGAGATGGCACCGAGCTTTTGCAAGGAGAATTCACACGAAACTGCCCAGGGCAAACAGCACACCGGGGAAGCTGGGCTTGCAAAACCCTCTGCTTCCATTGCCTTCCTTCCCCGTTCCCTGCGCTCTCAGGCTGCTGGCACGCTTCCCTGCTCCTCGGGGGCTCCCAGGAAAGGTTTCCCAGCAGTTGGGAAGAGCAGCTCCCATTCCCCAGGAGCTGCAGCCTTTGCTGGCCCTGGGCAGCAGAGCAGCCCCAGGCACTGCCCAGGGAAGCTCCCAGAAGGGCAGAAAAGAAGATAAAAACTCCACAAAAACGAGGCTCTGCAGACCAGAAAATCTCAATTTTTTTTCACCCACACTCTGTGCATTGGGGCCAAATTCACCTCCAGCCAATGCAGCACCACTGGAAATTCTTCCAACGCATTCTCTTTTTCCTGGCACCTTTCCTGCTGCTCCCCTCTTTGCCCCGAACTCCCCTCATTCCTCCTTCTTCTCCCGCTTCTGTTCAACTTTCATTGGAAGTATTTCCCACAGCAACTTTCCAGAGCTGCAGCCCCCTGGGTGAGGAGCTCTGGGCTTGAGGCACGGGAAGATGAACCCAGGGAAGGAAACCCAAACTCCCACTCAGGCAGCACGAGTGACTCAGCAGGGCCAGGGAGGAGGAGGAGGAGGAGGAGGAGGATGACGGAGTGAGCTTGGCAAAACCACAGCATGAGGGCATCAGAAACACCAGGGAGGTTTATCCCCTTCTCCAGGGAAGGAGCAGAGAAAAAAAAAATCAGAAAAAAGAGTGGTCAGGCATTGGAAGAAGTTGCCCAGTGGGGGATGTGCTTTAGAGTCTCTTCCACCCTCCATGATCCTGAGGTTCTGCAACGCAGGAGAGGCCATTCCCTTCTTTTTTTGGGGGGATCCAGCTCATTTGGAGTGCCTGTGTTGCTCAGTTTGGCTGCTGGAAGCAGCCACCCTCAGTGGAACCATGCTGGGAGCAGATCTGGAGCCATCCCTGCTGATTCAGGGTCATCAGCTCTAATTACTGGGTGTCTGACACGCCGGGTTTCGCTCTGGCCCCGGTTCCTTCTCCTGCCCCAAGGAGGTGGAAGGTGAGCGGGAGGAATCGCACCTGTTTTAGGGACAGGGAAGTGCTGTCCTTGTCCCCAGCACTGATCCCTCAGTGCTGCCCCAACAGCTGCAGAATCAGCCTCGAAATCAGCCTCGAAAACAACCTCAAAATCAGCCTCAAAATCAGCTTTGAAAGCTTCAAAATCAGCCTCAAAATCAGCCGTGAAATATTTCAAAATCAGCCTCGAAATCAGCTTCAAAATCAGCCTCAAAACCAGAAGCAAAATCAACCTTGAAATACTTAAAAATCAGCTTTGAAATCAGCCTTGAAATACTTCAAAATCAGCCTCAAAATCAGCCTTCAAACACTTCAAAACCAGCTTCAAAATCAGCCTCAAAACCAGAATCAAAATCAACCTTGAAATACTTCAAAACCAGCTTCAAGATCAGCCGAGGACCTGAGGGGGAAATGGGGAAAATTCCAGGGAGGAGAGGAGAGAGAAGCTGGAGCTGTTTTCCTCGTGTGGTGTTGTTTGAGGTGTTCAGCCAGAATTACTGGAGGAATCTCATCAGGGATGTGTCCCCCGAGGAGAACGCCGAGTTCACCAGGGAGGGGCTGTGAAAGGGGGTCAGGAGAGACCAACCCTCCACATCCTGGCCCTTCATGATCCAGCTCCTTCCCAGCAGGATCAGAAGCTGAATTTGAGCATTTTTACAAGGCTGTTCCCTGCCTGGGTTTTTCACATTTTCTGGGACTTCAGGAAAAGGCTGGACCAGAGCTGGGAGCAAAACTGGAGGCTCCTCCACATTTCCAGGGTTTCTGCAAGAGCTCACAGGGCTGGTCGCCATTCCAAGGGACACAGACCTTGGTGTCCAGCCCAGGATTCCTCAGGGATGTCCCCACTGCCCATCTGAACCCCTTCAACGGGGGTCACCCCTTGTTTTTCACCACTTCTCTCCAAGGCTGGGCAGGTAGGAGGAAGCGTCTCTATCAGTGAAACCTCCAGGGGGGTGTGGACGTGTGAGCTGGACGGGGAGGAGGAAATATTTGCATTTACCTCATCACACCCGGCTATAAAAGGGGCTGGGGAGGCGTGAGGCTTCCTCAGTTCCCAGGGCAGGTGGGTGAGGAGGAGGCACCGAGGGGGTCATGGCAGCTTTCCTCCTCTTGGCACCGCTCCTCCTGCTGGGGCCAGCGGCTGGCCAGGCAGACACAGAGATGGAAGGGTGCCTTCGGCTCTGGAACACGACCGAAGGGAATTTCTCTGTGGAAACAACACCTGGGACTTACCAGGCCAACACAACCTACCTGGGTAAGCCAGCCCTGCCTGGAGCTCACAGACTGCCCCTGCACAGAAATCTCTGTGCCTGCCTCGGCTGCTCTCCTCGCTCCTGTGCTGCTCTCACATCTGCTTCAGCTGGAGCTTTCTGTTTCTGCTTTAATTCTTTTCCATTTCAGGCAGGAGATGGTAAGCAGTGCCCTTGTTACCCCTTTGTTCCTATTTCACATTCCCCTCCGCAGCTCAATCCCAAATCCTCTTGCTCTCCTCAGGATGATTTTTTCTCCCGTTATCTTTTTGCCTGAACTTGCACAGAAGGAGCCGAATGCTCTTGAAAAGACAGACCTTGGGGAAGTTGTTTTGTGGTTTGGTTCCCTCCCCTCCTCTCGGCCTCTTTGCCTTTCTGCACAAAGGGGAAGAGATAACTTTGGGGCTGACAAACGTTCAGCATCACTGTAGGAAATGGATTTCACGCTGCAGAAGGATGGGGTAAACACAGCCTGGCCCTGCCAACAAATCCCCCTGTGCCCTGAGGCCCAGCAAAACCCAGAAAACAGTGGAGGAGAGATATCCTGACCCCTTATCCTGACGCCTTCCTGCAGGGAGGAGGTGTGAACCACACGGATTCCCTCAGATCTCACCCGGCAGCACCCACAGCAGTCAGCCGGGGCCGGGGTTCCTTTCATTTGCTCACCTCTATTTCAATTATTTTGAGCACGGAACTGACGGCAGTTCCTGCCTCACCTCAGCTCCTGGAGGTTCTGGCAGCTTTGGTTTGAAGCAGGGCTGGTCCCAGGGCTGCTGAAGGCTGAGAGGGACGTGGCAGGATGCTCACAGGGACCTGAGCAGCCACCGGTGCTGTTGCTGCTGGGCAGCATCTCCTGTGCCCCACCCGAGCAGGGTCCAGCTTCTGCTCGGGAGAAAAGCCCCGAGACCCCCGGGGCAGGGGCAGGGAGGCTGAGGCTGCCCAGAGGTTCCTTCTGCAGCCCTTCCCCTTCGCACGGCGTGCTGAGGTGGGGCTGAGCCCCGTGTCTGAGCAGCTCGGGGGCAGTAAAAGGGGTTTTTGGGGTAAAACACCTCTGTGCTGGCTGCTGTCACCATGAGCGCCGCGCAGGGTGGGAGCAAACCCTGAGGGCTCGGGGACCTGGCAGGGCAGAAATGTCATTTTGGCAGAAATGTAATATTGGCAGAAAGGTAATATTGGCAGAAATTTAATATTGGCAGAAATTTAATATTGGCAGAAATGTCATTATCTCATTTTGGTAGAAACGTCATTTTGGCAGCAATCTCATTTTGGTAGAAATCTCATTTTGGCAGGTATGCCATTTTGGCAGCAATCTCATTTTGGCAGAAATCTCATTTTGGCAGCAATCTCATTTGGGCAGCAATGTCATTTTGTCCAACTTGCTCTGCCCCCAGTGACGATAAAGGACGACAGGAACCACAGCAACAGCTCCGGGCAGCTCCTGCTGCAGGCGCTGTCCCGGCAGAACGCCTCGGTGGGGCGGTGGGAGGATGCAGCCACAGGGATCTGCAGCTCTGTGCTCACAGCAGTGCTGAACATCACCGAGAGAGAGAGCACAGCCCGCTGGACATCCCCCGACAGCAACCTCTCCTCTGTGCGCATCAGGTGAGGATTTGCTCCCTCCGAGCCTCCCGCTGGGACAAACCCGGAGCCAGCCCCTCCTCCCGAGCAGGGGCTGAGCAGATCCTCCGGGATTTTCCCTCTTCTTTACTTTTTCCTTCTCCTTCTCCTTCTCCTTCTCCTTCTCCTTCCCTTCTCCTCCTTCTTCTCCTTCTCCTTCTCCTTCTCCTTCTCCAAGGAAACTTTTGCTGCCAAAAGCCCCCCCACGGGTGCTGTGGGAGTCTGGAGATGCTCCAGGAGCAGAAATGCAGATTATTCCCATGGAAATGGCCTGGCTGAGCACTTCCATCAGCCCCGTGGGAGATGTTTGGCCAAGGGAAGCAGAGCCTTCAGCCTCATCTGCAGGAGGAAGAACAGCCCAGCTCCTGCCAGGAGTGCTGCTAATTACAGGCAGCAGATGCTTCCCAGTTAATTGCCACCCTGGTACCAGGAATCCCCATCCCAGCCCAGGAGCAGCCAAAATGTGACGGAGAAACAACTTCAGATGTTAAAAATACCCCCCAAAAAAGCTCAGTGTGGCTGGAGGGCAGCATGGGTGAGCTCAGGATGGTCTGACGTTCCTGTCTCTCCATCTGCTTGCAATGTCCCCTTTCCATCCCATGGGGACACTCAGCTTCTCTCCCTTGAACCTGTTTTCCTCCCTCTTCCCTTCTCCCACAGGGTCTTCCTCAGCCTCCCTGACAACATCACCGAGCTCAGGACCTGGGTGCTGAGCAGAGGTAAATAATCTTCATTTCCAGCGTCTGGGGAAGGACGGGACACTCTGAGCAGGGGCTTCTCTCGTGCTCTGGGCTTGGGCAGAGGCCAGGGAGGGATTCAGGGTGCCTGGAGCTGAGGACACCCCCAAACTCCAGCAGTCATGCAAAGACTGAGGGTTTTCAGGTTGAATTCCAACTTAAAACCTTCCCAAGCTTCCTTTTTGCTTTAAGGGGCACAAAAGAGCTGCAAACCAGAGGCCAGGGCTGGGAGCTGTGGCTTTGCTGTCAGGGAGCGTTTCTGGTGCTCCAGAGGGTGATGCTGCTGCTCTGGTGTACCCAGCCATCATTCCTGTGAAATCAGAGTTCCTGCATGTGAAAAACGCCAGTCACTTGGGTTTTTTAAAATTTTTAAAAGTTTAATCGTAATAAAATAGTTATAAAAATAGTAATAGAGTAATAAAATTTGAACAGTTGAGACTAGGACAATAGGAGACAATAAAAACAAAGAGTTAGGGACAGTGTGGGTGCCTCTTTCTGGGCAAAATAAGCCGAAAAAGGACACAAATTAACAGAGGATTAACCCTTCAAAACAACAGCCTGTTGCATATTCACATGATGCATAAATTCCTTTCAAACAGAGGATTCTGTCTGGTCAGTGTCAACTTCTTCCTCTTATTCCTGATGGTGTCTTCAGGGTGAGGAGGCAGGAAGAAGTTCATTTCTGCTGATAATGGAGCAATAAATTCACTTTCTCTGTAAGATTCAGGTGTCCTGTGGCTGCTGTCTGGTGCAGTCCTTTCTTTAAAAAAAGTATCTTACATAGCATAGTTTCTATTTTAACATTGTGTTATTACCTTAAACTATATTTAACACACTGCTTAAGAAAATTAATACAGCATAACTTTCTAACACAACACACACAATACTCATTTCAATATTTGCAAAAAGCCAATCATAAAATACGCATTTTTCACACTGCAGAAGCTCTCAGCTGGTCCTTTGCATTTGTAATTGATTTTTTTTCCTTTTTGTTTTTTCCATTTCAGGGGCAGAAACCATCACGGTGCCCCCCAACAGCACCACCAGAGCCCCCAGCACCTCTCCTTCCTGATGGTGTCTTCAGGGTGAGGAGGCAGGAAGAAGTTCATTTCTGCTGATAATGGAGCAATAAATTCACTTTCTCTGTAAGATTCAGGTGTCCTGTGGCTGCTGTCTGGTGCAGTCCTTTCTTTAAAAAAAGTATCTTACATAGCATAGTTTCTATTTTAACATTATGTTATCACCTAAAAATATATTTAACACACTGCTTAAGAAAATTAATACAGCATAACTTTCTAACACAACACACACAATACTCATTTCAATATTTGCAAAAAGCCAATCATAAAATACGCATTTTTCACACTGCAGAAGCTCTCAGCTGGTCCTTTGCATTTGTAATTGATTTTTTTTCCTTTTTGTTTTTTCCATTTCAGGGGCAGAAACCATCACGGTGCCCCCCAACAGCACCACCAGAGCCCCCAGCACCTCTCCCAGCTCGGGGAGCAGGGCTCAGGGCAGCTCCTGGCTCCTGGCTGCCCTGCTGCTGCTGCTCACAGGCAGCCTGCTCTCCTAGAGGGGACCCAGCAGGGCTGGGCTGCCCCCTCCCCTGCTCGGGAACCACGGGGCTGAGCTGATTTACTCAGGAAAACGTTCCCTGCTGTGCCTCAGGGTGATCAATGTGCTCCCAGGGGAAATGGGAAAGGTTTGTGTGACCGCCCAGCTGAGCCTCCCCTGCTGCCCTGGCCCACAGCCCCAGCACAAGGGAATATCCCCAGCAGGGATCCCTCTGCCCTGGCCCTAAAGGAAAAGGAAAAATCCCCAGCAGGGATCCCTCTGCCCTGGCCCTAAAGGAAAAGGAAAAATCCCCAGCAGGGATCCCTCTGCCCTGGCCCTTCAGACACAAAAATGGGTGAGCAGAGCCCACGGGACACTCGTGAATCCACGATTTCCTCATCGCCTGGCATTCTGTGAAGCACAAAACGCCTGAAGGGAGGAGGAGAATTCTTCTTCTTCTTCTTCTTCTTCTTCTTCTTCTTCTTCTTCGTCTTTGTCTTCTTCTTCATCTTCTTTCTTCTTCTTCTTTCTCTTCTTTTTCTTCGTCTTCTTCTTCTTCTTCATCGTCTTCTTCATCTTTGTCTTCTTTCTTCTTCTTTCTCTTCTTTGTCTTCTTTCTCCATCTTCTTTATCTTCTTTATCTCCTTCTCCTCCTCCTCCTCCTCCTCCTCCCTGGCTTTGCCTCTCCATCCCCTCCTGGCACAGCCCCGAGTTCAGCAGATGACAAAATTTCTCTTTGTTTTCCCTCTATTTTTTTCCCCTGGAAAGGCAAGGTGGGCATTTTGTGTTCCTCTTTTTTATTTTAATTTTTTTTAATCAACAGCTGATTTTGTTGTAGGGCAAGATTATTGTGTGGGCCAATGGATGTCTTGATTTTATTATTGTTTGTATTTTTATATGGGCTAAACCTTTATTTAGAAATTTTCCAACTTGTGGGAAGCAATTTTTTTTTTCTTAAACCGATCTAAATAAAATAAGGAATTAAAATTGTTTTTTCACCTCCCATTATTTCCTGCCTCCTTGTGATGTTGGGGGGTGGGGGTGAAACGATTCTGAAATATTTGGCTTTGATCCCACAGATGAAGGAACAAATAAATAAAGGTGAGGCCTGAGCTCTGCAATCCTGCAGAGGGTTTTTGGGGGAAGGGTCAGGACAGATCCCTGCCCATTTAATCCTCCTGTGCTTCCTCTTCAGGAGGCTGAGCCCCAAACCACATCAACATTTCAGATCTAAACAAGAGCCCTGGCTTTAAACTGCCCTGCCCAGCCCAGAGCTGGCCAAACCTCCTCATTTCTGCTGAATAAATCCAAATTCCCCAGGGACTGAGGAAGCTGGGAATAAAGGAGCCTGAAAATTTAACACAGGAGCAGAGCACCACAAGGAAAAAAATTGTGCCCATTTCTATTTCTCAGGAATTCAGAAGAAATTGTCCCTGCCCATTTATAGTTCTCAGGAATTCAGAAGAAATTGTCCCTGCCCATTTATATTTCTCAGATATCAGGTCTAAGAGGGAAATTAAAAAAAAAATCAATCAGAATTGTCTGAAATATTAACCCTAAAGTTGACAGCTGGGATTAAACAGCTGCTAAGGCTGGTTTGGCTTTCAGGCTGAGATTTCACTCAATTCTTGCTTGTTCAAATTGTACAAAATCCATGGTTTGCCTCAAAAAATAAAGGAAATTATCCCTGCCGTGCCCTCAGTGTGAATTCCACTTCTTTCATCCCAATTTCCACTTCTTTTCCTGTTTCCTGCTGGGCTGTGGAGGGGCTGGGCAAAGCCAGAATTCCCCAGCACAATCTCGCAGGTGAAATCTGAGCCTGCAGTGCTGCATTCACGGAATGTTCTCGCAGAATTTCAGAGAAATTATTTTTTTTTAGCGGCCAGCCATTAAAATTGGCTTCTGTTTAGCAGGCAGGGTAATTAGCAGAGATAGGAACATGCTTTATCAGCGCACAGCACACAATAAAATCCTAATTAGTGCTGGAAATGACTGCTCAATCTTTGTTGATCCATCTATCTCCTAAGATTACAGCCTTGGATAATAAATATGAAATTGCATTTAAATATCCCTGTGGCACCTCTCACGTCCCAGATCATCCCCACGTGGCTCCTGCTGCTTTGTCCCATCCATGAGCCTCATCAGTGGCATTTCCATTAATTTTTAGTCCATTGAGCAGCAAAAAGAACATTTCCTTTAACACCGTATTTTCCCTAAAAAATAGGGATTTTTTTAAGTGCTAAAAAATAAACGCACACACACACACACAAAAAAAAAAAAAAAGCTAAAAACTTAAATTTGACAAAAACAACCAGGCAGAACTCTGCCTGGAGAGAAAGAGAAGGGGCTCTGAGGATGAGCTTTGAGGCCACATCTACAAAACCCTGAGCCAAGCGTGAGCTGAAAGCTGTTCCTGGCAGAGCTGAGCTCTTAAAACATTGATTAATCACCAACACAGCGATTACAGCTGCATAAAGCCCCGTTTAAAACTTCCCCACCCTTCCCCTGACTGCCTGGAATCCCCGAGTTTTTATTGCTGTGCCATCTCACCTCAAAAAAAAAAAAAAATTAAAAAAAAAAAAATTTAAAAAAAATCAGAACAGCCCAAACTTTTTTGGATTTGGAGATGATTTCTCACTGAAACATCTTCCTGTGGGTTAAATTTGCTCCATTTCCATCCCACCAAAAGCCCAGTGCTGCAGAGTGAGGTGGGGACAGAACAGCCCCAGCTTTTTGGATTGGAGGTGATTTCTCACTGAAACATCTTTCTGTGGGTGTCACAGGAGGAATTCTGGGACAACACAACTTTTAGGGTTGAATTTGCTCCATTTCCATCCCACCAAAAGCCCAGTGCTGCAGAGTGAGGTGGGGATTCTGGGAAAATCTACAGGGACAGAGCTGTTTAATCCTTTGCCCCATTCACTGAATTTCTGGGTACATTTATTTTAATTTTTTTGTTTAATCCTTTGTCCCATTCACTGAATTTCTGGGTACATTTATTTTAATTTTTTGTTTAATCCTTTGCCCCATTCACTGAATTTCTGGGTACATTTATTTTTATTTTTTGTTTGATCCTTTGCCCCATTCACTGAATTTCTCGGTGAATTCACCAGCAGAAATTGAGTTTTCCACACCAGTGTACAAACAATTTCCAGGGAAAAGCCACGAAATGCCCCTGAACCCCCAGCCCCAGTTGTTCTCCTCATTTTTCAGACTTCCATGCTCTGTTTCCACTTGGCCTCCCCTCTGCACAGAGTAATTAATTGGTACCAATTAGCACCAAGCACAAGCAAACACCCTAATGAGCTTTACCCAGGATGGGAATTGCTGTCAGGGGTCCCTGGGCTGCCTCTGCTCTGGGCTCTGGAAAATGAGGGAATTTTGGGGATTTTGGGGATTTTGGGGCAGGGCCAGCTCCTTTTCTCAGCGTGCTTCCCCAATTTTTTGCTCCTTGTTCAGTTCCTGTGCCCGCCTGATCTCCCAAAAAAATCACCTTGAGGAGGGAAATTCGAATTTCCCAGTGGGGCTGGGAGGTGCAGCTGGAGCCCTGAGCTCAGCGTGTGGATTATTTATTAATTCCTTCATTGTCTGGGCCACAATGGGCTGTAAAAAGCCAGCCCGAGGAGCGGCTCCTGAGCCTGAGCAGCAGGAGTTGGTGCAGTTCCTCTCTCTGCTGCTCCTTTTGGGCTCTTAATCCCCCCAGGTGGGATCAGTTCCACTGCCAGAGCTGCACCCTCGGTCCTCCCTTGCCCACTGTGCTTCAAACACAGCAAAAAAATAAGATTTTTCCTCCTCCAGTGAGGCAGAATGGGAAAAAAATAAACCTCCCTAAACTGAAAATTAAAATGAAAAGAAATTAAAATAAAAAGGAAAGCTGCTGTTGGACAGATTTCCTGGGCAGCCTCAACCTTTGCTTTTGGTTGGCAGAAGCAGATGGTGCCACAGGTATTAAATTCCATCAGCTGCTTGCACAGCCAGCCCCTGCCCTGGCATTAGCTCAGAAGAGGAGCAGTTTTTATGAAAATCACAGAAACACAAATACCATGGAAGCCCCTGCTCTGCTCCCCTGAGAACAGCACATTCAAATAAATCATTTCTTGTGCCCAGGATGTTCCTGTCCCCCCGCCCAGCTCTTCCACAAAACTAATTTGATTTTAGCGTGTGGCAGGAGGCAGAGCTGGGTTTTTCAGCCCCACTAAACACAACTGGGCGCTTTCAGTGACATTTCCTGTCATTATTCCCCTGCCTTTCTCATTTCCAGGCACTGAAGCTGGCGGTTCTGCTGGGATCAGCTGGGACCTCTCCTGGCCCCCACTGTCACCTGAACCGCTCTCCTCAAAGCATTCATCACTCAGTAACTCAGGCAGAGCTTAATGTTTAATTCTGGGAGTTCATTCCCTGCCTGAAAACCCTCCCTGCCCCCCTCAGCTGGGAATTTGGAATCGCACAGAGAATTCCCTGCAGAGCTGCAGACCCCCCTGAGCAGGACGAGGTTCGGGGTTCGCTGTTATTTGT